TAGGCTAACTTTAGCTAACGTTAGCTAGAGATGTTAAAGATAACTTTATATTTCTTTCCAGCAAAGTGACAATATGTTGCCTCAAACACAATGTTGACTTACCTTAGAACAGATGTAGACATCATTGTTAATCTTATTCACGTTGAGTTGATGTTGTGGTCTAACGTTACCACACAACTTTATCCAAAGGAGACACTTTTCTCGCTTGAGATGTGGTTTAAAGTGTAAAAATACACGTGGTCGCCCAGCCTCTCAGGATACCTTGTGTCAGAGTTGCATGTACCCCATGCACACCGTTTGACCATTTTTAAACTTCAAATCTCAGAAAAAGCTCATAAAACTGAACAAACTGACTTTCTGTAATGCATTTCAATGGACGTCCAGGCAGAGAATGTCCCAGTATATGGGAATGGCTATACGCACTGTGATTGGCTCATCACGTTTGAGGGCGGGGCTTAGCCACAGGTCAATTGGTTAAAAAGGAACCAGTGCTTTGAGGTGGCTCCTGTGATTAACGTGGTCGTGGTTTCATCTTGTCTCTGCTCGTCAGGGCAGAATGAACAGAGAGTTCACCGTGAATATTTTGGTCGTATAGATTGTCAGTTTAAGTCATGAAATAAAAGGACGTCAACAAATTCTTGTCGGCAAAATTTCGTCTGAATGGCTCAATAGTTAATACACCCGGCAGATCATGAGCATCATAACTATCTAACTATGATCACATCTGTGGCTCTGAGCCTCATCGTCTCTGCAGGCTGAAGCAGCTCAACAGATCGTGATCATATCAGGAGGATCATGACAGCACATCTGGATAAAATTAAGACTTTGCTAGTGAACCAGCCAGCACGCTGACACACCACACTGACACACCACTCTGACGGTGTTTGTTGAGGAAGTTAAAATAAAGAGTTAAAACGATACAAAGCTATGTTCTCTGAGCAATTTACACAGCTTGAGTTTATCTTTCAGATCCGATCCTGTTTGGCCTGTTTGGAAGAAACGTGTGAAGTCGTCTAAACGTTTCAGCATGATCAAACAATAGAGCCGCCTGCTGTGTTGTTTGGAAAGAGCTTTACGCAGCAAGTCCAACAAAGATGCGACTGATATGATGAACGAACAGGTAAGAAGAGCTCAAAAAATTAAACTATAAAACTGATAACCTTAAGATTAGCTTCGATAAGAGGCTGCATAGTAAGGTCGACACTGGATCAGATGATGCATGAGAGCCAGAAGTTGCTCATGACAGAAATGGAGAGATGCCAGAAAGAAATGAAAGAGGGGCACAGCCTGGAGACTGGCCGGCTGCAAGCGCGTCTGGAGGCTACACCAGGACAAGAATGAAGACATACTGGGAAAGATTAATATGATGTTCTCCGAGGGCCGAGGCAACAAAATACTGGCTAAGGGTGCAGAGAGGATGAAAAGAAGAGGAGATGCGCTACGGAGGGAAGACCCTCGAGGGAGATGAGTGAAGACTGAAGACCCTCAGATTTAGTGAGCAAAGAGTTACGGGAGACTGTTTCACTTGCACATCGGACTGTGAATGGCTGGACAGTTTATAGTCACTGGGTGGAGACATTATTTCCCTGAATGAAACCCACCTGTGGGGAGACGACATCGACACTGAGGGTTATGGATGGTTTGCTGATGATGATGATGATGATGATGATGTAGTCCTGTTTCTGTCCGCTGACAGTGAGCAGCTCCTGTTTGAGGGAACAGACCTTCATCACTGTGTGACTGAGGAAGATTAAAAGTGTCCTCCTTGTGCAGATTCTTAAATACAGTCAGGAGAACTGGTCCAGGTCGTCCGGTACAGGAGCCCCGTCTGGTTTCCATGGAGACCAACAGGAGTCCAACAACAAACAGGTTCAAACAGGTTCATGCTGTGTGGAAGATGAACTGCTGAGTTTGTGAAGCGATGATGTGTCTGTCAGTCAGAAGGCTGTGGCTCCACCTAGTGTTCATTCTGTGTCATTACAGGTCATTAAACATGAAGTGCAGCAGAGATTACAGGAGCAAAACACTAACAACTGTCTAGAGGAACAGGTGGAACAACAACAACAACAGTAATAATACTAATAACTCATAATGTTTCAGCAGCGCAAGGACATAAATAAATAAATAAATAAATAAATAAATAAAGAGAGGAATATTAAACTAGTGTTAATGTGATGAACAGCAGCAGGTTGAGGGAGGCCTCTGTACACATGTTCACAGGGTTATTTAATGTTGCTCAGTGACTGTGTGTGTGTTAATGTTACATTCATATAAACATCTGTAACAACATCCACTCAGCTTCATTCATTTGCATATTATTGTTGAGTGTGTGTGTGTGTGTGTGTGTGTGTGAGGCAGTGAAATGATCAATGAAACCGTCGAAGGTTCAAGAAGCGGCTCAGAAATAGAACCTTCATCTGTGGCCTGTGATTGGCTGAGGATTCTTTACTGTTCGCTGATTGGCCAGTGGCAGACCCGCCTGTGGAAGGTTCCATTCCGCAGGGTGCAGATGGGGCTTTTCTCGACACATAAGAACGAGTTTTTCCAAAATGAAGCTTATTCGTTATAAGTATAATAATTATCATAAATTACTGATCGTTAAAGTGAACAACAGTTGACAAAGAGCGGGAACGTGGCTTTCAAATATAACCGCCCCCCCGCTCCCCGGTAGAGTTGGTACTGTCCGGTTTGTAGTCAGAGGAGAACCTGCCTGTCCTCCCGCAGTCGATACTAACGTGTTATCTGATCAGGTATTGATTCGTGATCAGGTGTGTCAGAGGCTGGATTCTCTCGTCTTCCTCCTCCTCCTCTTCTTCACCTTGACCTGTTTTCACCTGTGGTAGAATCATGCTGCGCGCGAGAGCGGCTGTGAGCCAGTCATGGAGGGGGTAGGTACCTGACAACACACGGAAAGACACGAGACTCATTAGTTAAGCCATGACTCTACAAGATGCTATTGAGCTAACTGCTAACACAGACTCTACAAGATGCTACTGAGCTAACTGCTAACAGAGACTCTACAATATGTCACTGAGCTAACTGCTAACAGAGACTCTACAAGATGTCACTGAGCTAACTGCTAACAGAGACTCTACAATATGTCACTGAGCTAACTGCTAACAGAGACTCTACAATATGTCACTGAGCTAACTGCTAACAGAGACTCTACAAGATGTTACTGAGCTAACTGCTAACAGAGACTGTACAAGATGTTACTGAGCTAACTGCTAATGAGTCCAACAGAGAGGTGGGAGGAGTCTGTCAGGTCAGGAGTGAAGGAGTGAAGGGGTGGAAACAGCAGGAAGCAGAAGCCATAATGCAGAGAGGCGCAGTAAAGACGAAGGAAGGAGCGTCACAGTGCAGATAACCAGGATCCTCCAAAAACCTGCTCAGACATGATATTAGTGACATGTAAACAAAACATGAGAGAAATCAGGTTGTACTTCCTGGATAGAAACCAGGATACGTGCTGCAGCGTGTTAATGTCTGAGCAAGGGACAAACACCAGTGACTGAGATGATGAATAATGGAGACACACCTGCTCAGTTATTCTGAACATACGTGAAGCCTTCTGTCTGGACTCTGCCGACATTTCGTCCATACCTGTGCACGATTTCTTAAAGCTAACAGATACTGACAAAACAGATCAGAACCAGAGCGTAACCAACGAGACATGATCACTGGACATGATGAAGACATTTGAATAATGACAGAACAGAACAAGTCAGTGAAAAGAATTCTCCGCCCACATGTCAGGATGTATTTTAATAGGGATGCACATGATTAGCAGTCTTAACGATTAAACGTCTGCGACCTTGCTAGTCGACACCAGAAATATTAGTCATTGAAAGCCTTAAACTGGAGACACGTCCTCTCGTATACCAGCAGGTTTGGCAGCACTTTGATCTAGAGAATGAAAACAAGGCAGCATGTAGGCTGTGTCAGTCGACATATAATCAGTCGACTGGAGCAACGAGCAACGAGCAACCACATTCAGCTCAAGCACTTGGATGTTCACCTCCACAGTCATATTGAATGGAGCATAGCACTTCAGTGAACCATGTGAGCTGTGATGGAGCAGAATTTTGTAATGGTACCTTTGTTAAATGTTGCTGTTGTTCCTGGTTTCATATGAGAAGAGGAAAAGATCGCTAGCTGCTAAGATAATTTATACAATGTAAAATGCCATAGGCTTGTGCTAATAACGTTAGCATGTTGTATTTGTGGGGAAAATGTGTCCAGATAAAGACGAGTGTTTGTCTGTGAATGCTGCGAGTTATAGTGAAGCTGATTTGTGTTTGAAACTGTCTCTATTAAGCCATGTTTAATGTGTGTTTAATGTGTGTTTAATGTGTGTTTTAAATCAGCGAACCCCCTGCACCAACTAGTGTTTTGGAGGTGTAACTGCAGAGTGACACAGACACACCACCGCATAAGTATAAATGCTCACAACGGCGTAGGTCGCGTGCGTTGGGTCTGACACACAACTTTAAATCCTGCTTAAGTCGCTAAGAGAGTCTGAGAAGTAAAACATTCAGGACGCTACAGTTTATTCACTACTACTGAAGCTGCTCCTCTTTTTAGAGCTTTCAGCCATGTTTGTTGTTGCTGTGGGTAACAGTATGTACTGTGTGTATCAGGATATGAATTTTTCATATCAACAATAAGACCGGTGTTATTGCAGATCAGATGACATGACACAGCTCTACTGTCCACCACAGTGTGATAAACAGTGTTTTAGTGTCATTTAGAGACACACTGTTCTGCTGTCAGTGTCTAACACACACACACACACACATACACATACACTCATACACACACACACACACACATACACATACACTCATACACACACACACACACACACACACACACACTCATACACACACACACACACGTACCCGTGAAACTGACCATCTGGAGTGCTCACAGTTTTGCAGCACTGTTTACTGTACAGGTCATCAGCTGATCCAACAGAACATCCCAGCAGTCTGCTGCTAGCTAGTGTTGCACCCATGAAGGGCAGACCTCGCAGTCTGAACCCAGACAGAGAACTCTTTACTGACTCCCACATTGTCACGCTTTCTTTCACAATAAAATCAATCAATCAATTTTATTTATAAAGCCCAATATCACAAATCACAATTTGCCTCACAGGGCTTTACAGCATATGACATCCCTCTGTCCTTATGACCCTCACAGCTGATCAGGAAAAACTCCCCAAAAAACCCTTTAACGGGCAAAATGGTAGAAAGCTCAGGAAGAGCAACTGAGGAGGGATCCCAGAGGTGAGATGTGGTGTATGTGGAGCGGTGTGTGTCAGTCTTGTTTGTTTTCAGTGACGTGAACAATCTGCAGCTCACTATCAGCGTCTGTACGACCTCCACGCTGCAGTCGGAGCGCTGCCTGAGTACAACTCTCAAAGTCATGTTTGGGGTTATGGAGGGTGGGGGAGCGGAGGTCAGGGGCCCTCGACCTCTCGTCTTTTCCTCCTCAGACCTAGCGAGCGATTCTGAGAAAGACGAGCTGATTATTTTTCTGACATCTGTAAAAAGTCAAATCCTTTAGGTGGTTATTATCCCTCTCCGTCAGGGGCCGGGGTTCAGGGTGTGTTTTAGGGATCGTGGTGCACATGAGAATACCTCTCGTGCCACCAGCTGGCCCGTCTGCCCTGCAGCGCTGTGACCTTCAGCTTAGAAAGTTAATCATACATGAAGGAGAGAGGCCACCAGAGTTCTGCTGGGACCAACTGAATCCAGAACAGGTTGTTCATCAGAAAAAGTGAAGACAGAAGTCACACAGAGCTGCAGCCAAATGTTTCAGAGCGTGTGAGTGGTTACTGAGTCACAGGTGGCAACATGTACGGCAGCCTCGGCCCCCAGTGTGTGAGTGAGTGTGTGAATGGGTGAATGTGACACGTAGAGTAAAAGCACTCTGAGTGGTTGGAAGACTAGGAAAGCACTTTACAAGTGCAGTCCATCTATTGCACCGCTCACCTTAATATCTCAGTGAAATGTTGTGGAACAAATCTACACCTGACACAAAAAGACACTTTATTATTTTGGCCGATGGATATTTTTCATCTACCAGTCCTCTTGGCTGGTGATTCAAAAAGTTACAGTAAAACTCCAGTTAAGCACCGTTTAAGCAGCCTGGTGTGGCTCCACATTCTGACAAATAAAGGCCTGTCTCAATCAGAGGCCTGGTCCAGGTGCCAAACAGTTCATTTTTCTATAGAAGTTCTTCAGATGTTTAAAACCAGGTTGTTGGCGACCTTAAATGATGTGTCCATTCCTCAATTACCCTGTAAGTTGTTCATGTTCCTTCAGTCTGTAAGAGTTCTCAGATCAAAAGAATCAAAAGGGTTTTTCATGAAAATGAATCCAAGTTGTGAGGACTGTTTGAACAGGATAAAGTGGAGTTGTGTTCGTATATCAGGTGCTGTGATCCTCTCTGATGCTCCGTCAGTCTGAGTTAGATCAAATGAATGATTCATCATTAATATATTATCTGAAGCCTCATTTTCAGACTGGTTTAAATAAACAGTCTGATTTTATTTCCTGATCTTTGGTAATGGACCTGCATTTGTAAAGTGCGTTTCTAGTCATCTGACCACTCAAAGCGCTTTTTACACAGTCAGTGAGTCACACTCACCCATTCACACATTCATACATTCATACACTGGTGGCCGAGGCTACCATACAAGGTGCTACTCACACACCAATGGAGCAGCCATCAGGAGCAATTTGGGGTTCAGTATCTTGCTCAAGGACACTTTGGTATGCAGACTGGAGGAGCCGGGGGTCGAACTGATGATCTTCCAATTGTGGACGATCCGCTCTACCTCTGAGTCACAGCTGGCCCTTTGCTGGGCAACAGTTTTGTGTGAAAGGAATTAAAGGTCTGTCCCAAATAGAGGCCTGTTGAGTTCAGTGACTGAAGCCAATAACAGCCCGGGGACGCTGGCTACCATCCATTCAAGTGTTCAGGCGGAGCTCGGCCAAAGACCACCTGTAGAGACACCGGCACTTTGTTTGTCCTGCTGTAGAGTGACTGACTGACAGCTACGTGACAGAGATGGCTAACCAGCTCAGCGACATGGCCGAACACAAGTCTGACAAGTGTGGTAAACTGTGAGGAGCCTGAACTGATGAGTGAGGAGAAAGCTGGAGCAGGTGTGAACCACTGATGGCAGATGAGGATGTTGATGATGTTTCATTATTGAAATGTCCCCAGGTGTGTTGGTAGACAGAGACGTGCTCAGTGTGTGGAGAGGCAGCTGCTCTCAGAGGAGGTCAGGACTGGAAAGGTTTGGAAAGTGCTGAGTTAGTTCAGGGTCCGTGTCACTGCACGACACGTGGTCAACTTGGATCCAACTGATGATTTTGGGGCTGAATTGAAGAATCAGGCTGAAACCAGTTCATGAAGCTCTGGTCTATTCATTAAAGGAGTTCACGACCCCCACACTCATGGCCAGTTTAATTCAGGTCAAAGTCACCTGCTGATATGTGCTGTTTTCCTGCTGGGTTATACAACACAATAGAAATGGGATTTTGTGGTGTGAGTGGCATTAACCAAACATGGTGTGTTTGTGTGTTTGAAGGTTCAGAACGTTTCCTCGTGCAGCTGTGGAGGTGAAGAATGAGCCGATCCTTGGCTTCACAGAGGGCAGCGCAGAGAGGAAAGAGCTGCTGAAGGTTTGAAGCCAACAGTCACAAACACAGACTCAAACAGTCTGAACATGAGTTATATTTCAGCGTTCTCATTTCAGGCCTTAGACAGTCTGAAGGACAAGACGGAGGAGATCCCATGTGTGGTCGGAGACGAACACGTGTGGACCAAAGACATCAGATATCAGTTATCTGTGAGTTCTGTAATCTGAGTAAACTGTTGCTCCATGTGAAGGAATTTCATCACTGATTATTATCATTATTCAAACATGCATTCAGAGTTCTCTCTGTGAGAGGAGCAGCTGATGAGAAACACTGAGCTGAATGTTGTGTTTCAGTATTTTTCCTTCATAGTGTCGTAACTCACTGTTCTCTTTGTTTCTGTCCAAAGCCGTTCAATCACTCGCATAAAGTGGCAAAGTTCTGTTACGCTGATAAGGTAAGTTCTAATAAAACACGTTCTGCATGTTTCAGAGAACCACACTGAACTCCTGGAGCCAGTTGCACCAACTGGTCTTAACTAAGCCTGGTCCCAGCTGCTAATTCTGTCTTTGTTGAGGCCAGTCGTTAGGACGAACTTCACGTCGGTTGCACCAACAAAACCTAGTCGTAACTACACCTGGTCTTAGCGATGTGTGCAGGCGCTGCTGGGATACGCTGTTAACGTTGTCCTGCAAATCTGAAGCTGCTCATTTATCATTTGTGGTGACGTTATTATGGAGCAACAGAGAAAAAGAAAAGGGTGTTTCACAGACACATGAAGATCAATAGAGCTGAACAAGGGAGGCGAGTCTGTGTTTGATTGACAGCAGGTGGAGCTCCACAGGTCACATGACAGGAGAGGAGAAAGTAAACCAACTTGGCTGTAGCTCAAAACTGATGGACCTACAGTCAGTGTGTTTCCATGACGTCAGAGAAACTGATTTACTGCTCTTTATAAATCCCTGTTAACATGTCAGTGTGAGTGAAATGGTCCTGCAGTGAATGTGTCACAGTGGGACTAACACACCCAGATCATGTGTCTCCTGCATGTATACAGTCAATCAGACCCAAACTGGCCGAGGCGCTCTGAGCATGCTCCACAGTTTCCGCCCCGGGCTTTGACCCGGAAGTCCAACAGGAATAAGCTCTGTTGGTGCGACCGCCCCCTGGACTGAGTTTATAGTTCTTTTGGTCTGTTTCCAAATCATATGTGAAAAAGTTTTGTTTTTCAAAACTTGTTTCAAATATTCAAACAACCTGAAAACTTCACCAGGTTAATTACACCAAATGTAGGTCTGTAAGACTCAAAGTTATTTTTATGGGAGTCTTTTAAGGAAGTCTCAACGCCTTTATACACCAGGGCTCGACTTGTTTCATATCTTGATACCGTCCTGACATTTCACTGGGGTTTACAGTACATAAGGGGAGGCGTTATCCATATTAAAAATATGAGTTTTTTGCCTGCTGTCTGTCTCTGCTGCTGGCGACTGGGGCTTTGCTAACGTTAGTCCTGTAACGTCAGCTCAGCTGCCCGTTTCACCAAAGCTGTGTCCACCAGGGTGGAAAAATGAGGCCGACGCTTAAGTATCAAAACCTGCAGTTCCTCTAATGTCCACTAGAGGCTGGCTCCAGAAGTGAGTCAGAGACCTCCATGTTAACATGTTTACAGCCTGTTTGCTCTCTGGAGATCATTTCAACATTCACGACATGTTTTATACAACTGTTTACATTTTATTAAGGTTTAAAGTCACACATCATTGAGGGGGCGGGGCCTCAGACAGGTCCGCCCCTAACATCTGAAGGTTTGTGGAAACAACCTCTCCCTCAGTTTTATCATTCAACACTGGTTTTATGTTTTTATTAAGATTTATTTCTTCATGTTCCTGTTGTGTTTTATGCCTCCACCAACCCTCTCTTTGTGGTTTGAACGTGACAGGAGCTGATCAACAAGGCGATTTTGGCATCTGTGGCGGCAAGGAAAGAATGGGACCTGAAGCCCATCCAGGACCGAGCCCAGGTCCTCTTCAAGGCAGCCGACGTCATCAGTGGACCCAAGAGAGCCGAGATCCTCGCCAAGACCATGATTGGACAGGTACGGGACACTCGGGGTGGTTTGGTACCAATTTGCTCTGTGGATCCCGTTACTCTGCTGCCACACAGGAAGTGACATTGACAACAGCAAACTAAAAAATACTTGAAGCAAATATTCAGAAATTAAAGAACAGTGTTCAGAACGTAAAGAAACTTCATTTAGGGCCTGTGTTTGCGCCTCATAGAGAACAGTTGTAAAACGCAGCCTCTTACATAAAGACTTCCCAGGCAGTCGTTGAACGCACCACATTAGAGACAGAGATTTCCAACACAGTCAGACACTTTGAATCCCACACAGTGTAACAGGGACACATGTCTCTGTGCAAAGACTAAATCAGAGCGCTGGTATTTCACTGCGTGCTGTGTTTGTGTCTGTGTTTCAGGGTAAGACGGTGATCCAGGCGGAGATCGATGCCGCTGCAGAGCTGATCGACTTCTTCAGGTTTAACGCCAAACATGCCGTTGAGCTGGAGAAACAGCAGCCGTTAGACGCTGAGGGGAGCACCAACACCATGCTGTACCGCGGCCTGGAGGTGAAATCATCACACACGTATATGTCGAATACACTCGATGTATCGCAGCTTGTTCCACACAGGATGTACGGTGGCATGCAAAAGTTTGGGTTCACAACAAAAACATCATCACTTCCTGTCCGAGACGAGCCAGGTGCTTCAAAATAAAAGCATCAGTGGTTGCACCTTGATTCTAACAATAACTTACTTAACTTTATTTGAACGGTATTTTATATAATAGCTTCTTTATTTAACTTTATTCTGACTGTAGATTTTAGTAGTTTAGAGGAGATCTCAAAATAGCAGGTTATATATCAGGTGTCATGATGTAGCCTTTTAACACAGGTCATTAATGAGCGGCTCTGTTTCCTCACCGTCAGCTCACAGTGTGCGGCGTCAGCTGCTCACTGAATAATATAAACCTTTATCAGCCAGAATTTGTTTCGTTGTTCTGTTGATTATTTATTTTGTGGACGAAGGATTCAGTCTGTACATGGAGACTTTTTATTTAATCTTTATTGTCTGTTATTTAATTATATGTCAGGACTGAGTGTTTGCAGTCTCACATTTCATCTTTTTATTGTTAGGATATAAATGTGTGTGTGTGTGTGTGTGTGTGTGTGTGTTCTCTCTCAGGGGTTTGTAGCAGCTGTGGCTCCTTTTAACTTCACTGCCATTGGTGGAAACCTGGCAGGTACGCCAGCTCTCATGGTGAGTGTGAACATGTTTGTCTCTGCATGCAGAGTATTTCAGGGCTGTGTTCAGTTAGTGATGGGGTGTGTTCCATTCAGCTGCACCATCATTGGAGGCCTCACAGAGCTGCTAACATGACTGGAGCCTCTTTAGACGATCAGTACATGAACCGATTCATGTTGAAGACATGTCACGGCCTGGTGAACATCCTCCACGTTAAGGCGGATTTACACTTATAATAATAATATTTAATATTTATATAGAATCTTTTAAAAACAGTGTTTACAAAGTGCTTTGACAAACAAAGCAAAACCAGAATGATCAACAACAGTTAAAAAAAATAGAAGAAGACAAAAGCAGCAGCAGCATTCAAAGAAAACAGACAGAGTAGCAACAACAGGGAAACAACAACAGTAAATACCAATGAAACCATAAAAACAAGAATAATAATAAATAAAAGAGAGACGACATCACATGAAAGCAAGTCTATAAAAATGTGTTTTAAGAAGTGACTTAAAAGAAGATACTCCCCGCAAATGGGTCTGTAAGGGATCCATTTGGGATTGGAAGACTGATTCTGCGAGCCTTATCTCCTCAGACAGGAGTGTGTACTTGTGTATCAGCGCCACATACGAACCTACGCTGTTGTTGGGGGTGGGGGGGCACTGTGTCACTCTGCAGTTACACCTCCAAAAGTGGCAGCATTTCTAAACACACAGTAAACACACAGTAAACTTGGCTTCACAGAGACAGTTTCAAACCCCACAAATACAACATGCTAACATTATTAGCACAAGTCTATGGCATTTTACATTGTATGAAATAGCCTAGCAGCTAGCAGAGATTTCCTCTGCTCATAGTTCAGCCAGGATAAATCACACACAAGGCTTGTGGTTACATATTAGGGGAGGTGCACATCAGGCCACAGCGGAGATGACGGCGTTGATTCGACGCAGAAGTATAAATCCTGCTTTAGATACACCTGTGGCTCATCCATCAGTACCAGGGGTCAGAGGTCAGAGGGTGGCGGAGTGAGAACAGAAGGATTAGTTTGTCACAAAGTAAACTTGACCTGTTGCAGCTGTGATCCTGTGGAATGTATTTGTAATGTGTTTGTTCTGTGGTGTGTTTCAGGGGAACGTGGTTCTGTGGAAGCCCAGCGACACTGCCATGTCTGCCAGCTACGCTGTCTACAGAGTCCTGAGGGACTGTGGGCTCCCCCCAAACATCATCCAGTTCCTACCAGCTGATGGTCCAGTGTTCGGAGACACTGTCACATCTTCAGAACACCTGGCCGGCATCAACTTCACCGGCAGCGTCCCGTAAGCACACGTCTTTAATATGAGACGCAGGAGCTCACCCACCTGTGATCTAACGGTTGGGCTAACTAACTAACCTGGGAAGGCAGCTAAAGCTAATGTCAGTGCTAACTTGGTTTATGGTAAAGTACCACTGATAGCTGAATGAACCCGCGTGAACCCAGACGACTACACACTTTATTATTTCTTATATTGTCCATGGCCGTACGTTACCGCCACACTCCTCCTGTGTTTTACCTTTCACAATAAGAGACCAACTTAAAGTTATCAGCAACTCAATGAAACGTCCGCCACAGGTCACAGACACGTATGTTCAGACCTGATGTAGTCCTGCGGCTTTGCTCCTTGTTCCTTCTGACTCTGAGTCATAGAGCTCCAGGTATCCACAGACGGCAACGATAACTTTGTCCTCCATTTCTGATTCTCTCTGACGTCAGGAGAATCTCAACGCTGATAGGCTGTTGTCACGCCACATGTAAACTTGTGTAAATTTGCTAATAGTGTGTATTTTGTGTAGAGTTCTCAATCTCAACCCTGCAGACGTCTGGAGGACGAGTGACATCACGCTCTCTTGGTTTACCTTCACTAGATCAAACCCACAGAAGAATCACACAGTCATTTCCTGCTTCCTTGTTGAAATGCATCACTGCGCTGAGTCACATGGTCCAGATGATGTCATCCTTTCTCTCACTCCGTCTCTGATGAGCTGTGTGAAAACTCATCAGTCTGCGGCTGCAGGTTCACCACATGATGTTCATTTCATTCGTTCACCGTCAGTCGTCTCTTTGCACGTTGAGCTGCTGCACAGACGTGTTTCCATCTCCTGCTGCTTCCTGCCGCTCACTTCAAATAAGTGTTACAGCTTTGTGAAACAGCTGCGCAGCAACTGAAAGATATTTTCTCCTTCACCATGTTAATATGGCAGATTAAATACTGGTTGCTCCACTCAGAGAAAAGTGTTTTATAAGGTGTGAGGCTGTGTCTCAGCAGCCTCGTCTCAGTGCCTCTGACACCGCTGAGTTCATCCTGACTCTGTTTCTGGCTCCGTACGAACGTTTTGACTGAATCTGTTGTTTGTAGGACGTTCAAGCGTCTCTGGAAGCAGGTGGCTCAGAACCTGGACACCTACAGGACGTTCCCTCGACTGGCAGGAGGTCAGCTGATCTTTTTTCATCCTTTAACTCAGACCAAGGTGACGTCTCTTTGACCCTCATGTTTAAATCACGTGTCCTGTCCACGCTTTCAGAGTGCGGAGGGAAGAACTTCCACTTTGTCCACAAGTCAGCAGATGTGGAGAGCGTGGTGAAGGGGACGATCCGCTCGGCCTTCGAGTACGGAGGTCAGAAGTGTTCGGCCTGCTCCAGGATGTACGTCCCAGACAGCATGTGGCCGCAGATCAGAGGCCAGCTGCTGGACATCCACCGCCAGCTCACAGTGGGAGACGTGAGTACACCCAAGTGCAGCTAAAACACTGCTTAAATACTGGTAAGAGTACAGCTAAAGTACAACTGTATTATTTTTGAAGATGGTTGATTAGTGACAGTTAATAATGATACTAATGTTTGTTCTTCATCCTGATGAAGACTTGAATAATAATTACAGATGTCGGTCGTGTATTCATTAGATGTTTGTTGGTCGTGTATTCATTAGATGTTTGTGTTCTCCTTCAGCCGGTCGAAGACTTCAGCACGTTCTTCTCGGCTGTGATCGATGATAAGGTGAGTTTCCTTCAGCTGCTGCTCTGCATGACGTCCTGTTGTGGTGTATTTGTGTGTATTTATACTGCGTTTCGTCCTGCAGTCGTTTGCTCGGATAAAGAAGTGGCTCGATCACGCCAAGTCTTCGTCCAGCCTGAAGGTCATCGCCGGGGGTAACTGTGACAACAGGAAGGGATACTTTGTGGAGCCAACCATCATTGAGACCACAGACCCTCAGGACGCCATCATGAAGGAGGTACACACTGTTTCCTGTCACACTCTGCAGCCACACTTTGCACTGGTTCCCAGTTAGTGTCAGAGGGTACCGTCCCTCTGGGATCAGCTGACTGTGACCTCACACACACACAGACTGGTTGCAGCTGTTCGCCCGACTCATCTGTGCATATTTCAGAGTTTCACCTCATTGTTTTCTGAGAGTACTTCACACTCTGCTGACTCTGTGCTGCAGCCGCTGCGTCTGACGTCCCTCAGGATCAATAAAGTTTGATCTCAGACACACTGACAGGATGCTACGCTAAGCTAGCTCCTTACATGATGGTTGGTGACACCATCACCAGAAACAGAAGCTCCTCTGATGATCTACAGGTCTGTTTGGAGCCACATCAGTTTCACTGTGTGTTTTATCCACCGCTCTGTTTCGTAATTCACTGAGCTGAGCTACGAGCCGCCGCACAGCCACAGAGGGTGCGCTCTGAATCACATCCCTTTTTTTAGCGTTCAGTATGTACTGCAGCAGCCCTTCAAAAGTCCGTACTGTCCCCTGCAGTCTGCTCACAGTCAGGACAGACTGCTGTCTCATCACAGCCTGAACTTTGACCCTCTCATTTTCATATCTGTTATCATGGAGGTTTAACAAACCGAGCTCGCCAGTATTGTATTGAAGAGGCTTTTGCACACCAGGATAATCAGCTTCTGTCATCAGGTGCGTTGGCACAGCAGAAAGTGCTTAACATGAAAGAAGGACTGCCCACACACTGACTTGCACTTACACAAGTTACAAGTACTTGGTTTTGAAGCCATTGCTGTGTAAGTGCAAGTCAGTGTGTGGGCAGTCCTTCTTTCCACATTCACCACAGTAAAATCACGTTTGCTGTTCTGTCCTTTGTTTCTTTATTTAGGATCATTGTCTTTATTTCACAAATATGTGTTGCAAATGGTCTGGATCAATGCAGAGGACGTTTAGTTGGTGCAAGACATCTGTGAACAGCATTAGCAAACTAACCTCACTTAGCTTTGGCAATCAAACAATCACAACAACGACTCAGGAAACAGCATTAAATCCCTTGAATGGATGAAGAAAGAGTCGCTTGGTGGAGTGCTGCGTTTGTTAGCCGGCAGAGGAGCTGTGGTTCCAGAAGCACTCTTTGTTGTGTCCCTTGTTCCAAAGGTGTAGATCTGAGGAAGCTGGTCGCTCGGGCTCCTTGCAGAGTTAGACGCTGGAGTGCTCACTCGACTTGATTCTTCTTGTTGCTGGAAAGTTAGTTGCAAACCTTGTGTTTGAATCTCTAACTTCTCTGGTTCAGGTTGAGAGAGTCTGTGAGCAACTGAAACAATGAATCCCAACATACTAAACACGTTTTCCCCACAAATACAACATGCTAACGTTATTAGCACAAGCCTATGGCATTTTACATTGTATAAATGAGCCTAGCAGCTAGCAGAGATTTCCTCTGCTCATATTTCAGCCAGGATAAATCACACACAGTGTGTGGAGGCTTTATTGTCTTCACAATTTATTGTTTCTTATCTGTGAAATTAAAGTAAATCAAAGCTTTGTTTCCACTGAGGGAAATGGTTTCAGCTCACAGAGACAGACAGGAGGTCTGCGTCACTGTGACACTGTGGAGTTACATTACTGGGGAGGTGCTCGTCAGGCTACGGCTCCAGAAAGTGTTGCTGGAGAACTTGTGAGTGAGTGAGGGGGCGGAGCTGTGCGGAGAGATGAACACTGGGATGTGTCATGTGACACAACTTGAGTCTGTATCGATATGAACAGTGTCTAAATTTATATCTTTGAAAATATATGGAACATAGTCGTTACATGGCCCTAATGTTTGTTCACCCAGTTAACCCCCCCCCTCACACACACACACACACACACACACACACACACACACACACACACACACACAGAGTGATGATGTGTATTATTATTTATAGTGTGTGTTTCTGTGGTGTGCAGGAGATCTTCGGGCCCGTCCTCACAGTTTACGTTTACCCTGAGAACAACTACAAGGAGGTGCTGCAGCTGATCGACAACACGTCGCCGTACGCTCTGACGGGAGCCGTGTTCGCTCAGGACAAGTGAGACACGTTCATCTCCACAGTCACACGTCTGTAGGACGAGTCAGACCAGCACATGTGTGCAGATATTTCCCTCCTTTCTTTTTATGATTTATTATTGGTTTTCCAGCATTAGAACAAACGGAACATCAGATGGTCAAACAGCACACGAACCTGATAGAAAAAATAAGGACAAAAGAAAGAGACGTGCACATTCTTCTCAGCGGTGTGTAACACAGGCTGTCATGTGACAGTCATACCACATCATACTGTGTGTTATGCTCTCACCCTAAGCATGAACACATGAATGCACACAGAGCAAAGATGAGACTCACAGATATTCTCTGACACGATCATCATCTTTACCGAATGTCTCCAGACAGGGACCCCAAATATTTCTGAAACCTTTACACTATTATGAACTTTGAATCAGCTGCTCAGCAGAAACTGTCCTCACCAGCTCATCGCTCCGCTCTTTGAGGCTGATTTTCTCTCTCGACTTCCAATGTCTGTGCACCGTCCTGTTCCCTGTGACGAGGGTGGTTTCACCCAGGAACGTACTTTAGAGGACAGCTTAGTCTCCGTTGGTGAGATGCTCAGTACACGTGCCGCTGGAGCCTCAGTCAGGTCTGTTCACAGTATATTGTTGATACATTTCACAACAGCTGACCAGACGTCACCATCTCTCATCCATAAAACACATGGACCGACGTGCCTCCATCTTTGTTGCATCTCTAACAGCTGTCATCCTTCCTCAGCCGTGGCCGTCATGTTGTCAGTGTCCAGTAATTCCCATTTATTGAGGACGTGCTGTCGTGACACGCTAACTCTGTTTTGCAACACACACTGAACTGTTTTAACTTGTAATGATCCCACACTTTACACTTTCTGTTCTTTTCCTTGCCGTGTCTCTTTTTGTCTCTCGCTGTTTTCTTGTCCCTCGTCCTCCATCATCTTGCAAACCGCGCTTCACATCGACATTATAGCTGCGCCGGCTGTCAACAGAGGAAGTGACATAAGTTCTGCTCAACAGAAACAACGATCCGCACCAAACACAGTGCGCTGTATAGTTGTGCTGGATTTAACGAAGCGTTGAAGCTTTTTAGTGATTGAATTATTGGAGTAATCGTTTCAGCCCTAAAATGGACCTTCTCTGCAGTAGGTCCAAAGCCCCCCTCTCCCCCTCAAACAGGCCGTGTGTTCGACTCACCTCTGAAACTCTCCGTGGTTTAAAGTTTAGTTTCTCTCCTGCGTCCTGTTTTTACTTCACATACCTGATTTATTTCACTGTTTCATCTTCACCATCAGACGTATGAGAAGTTGTGTGAAGTTACTGCTGATGAGAACTCAACATTTCCTTATTTTGCTTCTTCACAATAAAAGTTTTTGCATTACAAAATAAAAGACTGTTATTGTGAAGAATCTGCAGGAAATTAAATGTGTTTATTACAGTATTAGTGGAACTTTGTTGGCCGCGTTTCTTCAATAAAGAAAAGTCTGATAAGGGAAGAAGAGTAAAAGCAGAAACAGCCACATGATGATGATGAAGATGATGATGAAGATGATGAAGATGAAGATGATGATGAAGATGATGATGAAGATGATGAAGATGAAGATGATGATGAAGATGATGATGAAGATGAAGAAGATGAAGATGATGATGAAGATGATGATGATGAAGATGATGATGATGAAGATGATGAAGATGAAGAAGATGAAGATGATGATGGAGATGAAGAAGATGATGATGATGGTGAAGATGATGATGAAGATGATGATAAAGATGATGATGAAGATGATGATGATGATGAAGATGATGATGAAGATGAAGAAGATGATGATGAAGATGATAATGATGGTGATGATGATGATGATGATGATGAAGAAGAAGAAGAAGAAGAAGAAGAAGAAGAAGAAGAAGAAGAAAAAGAAGAAGATGATGATGAAGATAATGATGAAGATGATGATGAAGATAATGATGAAGATGATGATGAAGATGATGATGAAGATAATGATGATGGTGATGAAGATGATGATGAAGATAATGAAGATGGTGATGAAGATGATGATGAAGATAATGAAGATGATGAAGATAATGAAGATGATGAAGATAATGAAGATGATGATGATGAAGATGATGGTGATGATGAAGATGATGATGATGAAGATGATGATGATGAAGAAGATGATGGTGAAGATGATGAAGATGATGATGAAGAAGACGATGATGATGGTGAAGATGATGATGAAGAAGATGATGATGATGGTGAAGATGATGACGAAGATGATGATGAAGATGATGATGATGATGAAGATGATGATGATGATGATGATGATGATGAAGATAATGAAGATGAAGATGAAGAAGAAGACACACAGCTAACCTCCAACAGGTAAACTTCTCTCACCTGCCCTGCTGTGTGATGGAAAAACACCTGCAGCAACAGTGACAGCCGTGGATCAGCCCGCTGCTTTCAGACGTCACCACTCAAGACAAGCCGTCAGCAGGTAAAGACACACCTTCAACAGGTAGCCCTGTTGTCATTGAGACGCAAATCCCTGCTGTGATGGGCTGACGGCCCAAACCGAACCGAACCGAACCAAATCAAACCAAACCATCCCACTGGCTCACTTTTTGTTGCAGATGCTGTTTCGTGACGACCCTGAGCTCAGAGGGAGGTTAAACATGGCCGATCAGACAAAAAAACAAAAACAAAAACAAAAACAAAAACAAACAAACAGGGCACGTAGTCCAGCAGGGATCTGTCCAGTGTGCCAGACGACCCCTGCTGGTGTCCATCCAGAATAAACGTCCATAAATCCGCTCAGAAATCAGACAAAAAAAGACATATTGTTTTTATGACTCCACGCCAGAGACAGCCATGGACAGAGGCGTTATGATTTCAAGTTGTCTGTCCCGTCCTTAACACGATATCTCAAGAACGCCTCAAGGGAAGTTCTTTAAATTTGGCACAAACGTCCACTTTGACTGAAGAATAAACTGATTAGAGTTTTGCAGTCAAAGATCAAAGGTCAGAGTGACCTCACAAAACATATCTTTGTTCTGACAAAATGACATGACATGGATGGACACTGTCAGAGACACTGGGCTGGTGGGCGGAGCCATACAACCACAGGGTGGGCGGAGTCATACAACCACAGGGCGGACTGGTGGGCGGAGTCATACAACCACAGGGTGGTGACTGTGGTTTGGAGTTTTTTTGAGCTGATAATTTTCTGTCCATCCAAACAGGAGCTGCTCACACATCACTCAGACCACAGCTCAGCTCAGTCTGTGTGCCGACGGCTGTTTGAACTGTGAGTGTTTGATATCAATAAAGTTTCTGTGTGTTGCAGGACTGTGATCGACGAGGCAGCCAAAGCGCTGAGAAACGCTGCAGGGAACTACTACGTTAATGATAAATCCACCGGCTCCATCGTCGCTCAGCAGCCGTTTGGTGGCGCCAGAGCTTCAGGTAAGAGTTGGTTTCACTCTGCATGTGACCAGAGACGCACACATGAGACAAACATACACACATCTGAACTTCCTGTTTGTGTTCAACTGAACGCTCCTCTTCATCAAGGAACCAACGACAAACCTGGAGGTCCACACTACGTCCTGAGGTGGACGTCTCCGCAGGTGGTGAAGCAGACCCACGTCCCCCTCACAGACTGGAGGTACTCCTACATGGGCTGAGCGCCGCTGCCTGCCGGTCCAATCAGAGCCCATCCTGCATCAGCTGATTCTCCTGCTGTGAAATGAAAAGAGTGTTTGCACTGAAGCTGGACCTGAATGTATGTGAGCAGCAGAGCGGCGAGGAAGTCTTCCATCCCGTCCTCCGCACACTTTGACCCGACTCTCTGTCTGCTGCTCGGTTCTTCATCACTGATGTTGGCGCTCAGCCACAAACTGTCTGCTCATACTTTGATCTTACCTGAATCTAGTTCGTCTGTCACTTGATCCGTTAGTCGAAATAATCTGCAGCATTTTTGATGAATAACTGGAGTCATTTTGTTCAAAGGTCAAATGGAAAAATTCACTGATTATGAATCTTCCTGCTTTTGTTCGTCGTCTGTAAACTGAATATCTTTGTCGAGAATATCGAGGGAAAATCTGACAGATGGATCTGAAATGAAAATAATCTTAGACCCTCCATCAAATTCAAATAATATTTTAGGTCAGTGTCCAAACATGAAAAGAGTTCCTTTGTGTTGCGTCTCTGAACACAAAGCCTGTTAGTGTTTTATATTTGTTAGTCTAACGATGAAACAAATCATTTTATGGATGTGTGTGTGAAACAGGTCGTGTTTCCTGTTTCCTTCTGACGTGTCAGATTTTAGTGGCAGTAAAACTGTTACAGAAACAGGCAGCGGGTGATTTTAAGCTGCGTCCTGCTGTGATTTCACTTTCTGCTGCTTTGTCTTTAATCAAACAGTTTAATGTGTATTTTCTGAAGAGTATTTTGTATTTTAATCTGTCCTCAAACAAAAACAAAGGATTTCTTCTATTTTCAGAATGTGCCTGCCTTAGAAACTCTGTAAATTCATTTTGGACAATAAAGTATTAAATTATTACGATCTAAACTTGTGCTCTTTTGTTTCTTGGCTGTTTTATCGTCCCGTCCCTCCAAAATTTCACCCTCTGTTTTTGGGGTCGTTGCAGTCTGAAACGTCTCATTTCACGGCGTTTTGAAAACCTTGTGACGCATGTTTCCATGTTTACAGGTGCTTTTATGCCTCCACGCCGGGGACAGCTGCGGCCGGAGGCGTTATGTCTTCAGGCTGTCCGTACGTACGTCACATTCTGGTGAACACGATATCTCAAAAACACTGTGAGGTAAATTCTTCAAATTGGCACAAACGTCCCCTCGGACTGAAGGATGAACTGACTGGAGTTTGGTGGTCAAAGGTCACTGACATCATAAAACATATTTCTGGCCCTTACTCAAGAATCCATACACTAATTACAGCTGCTGCGCAGCAATGGTCGGGGCCGGGCAATTTTAGGCAAAATTAGGCAATTCTGAGCAACACACACACTAAAACAAAGCATATCACAACATAGAAGTTACATCATATAATTATGGCATGCCCTTCAAATTGTGGATGAGTGGCTGAAGTGATCAGACTCATAATATACAAAGGAAAGAAAAAACTCAAGAACAAGAAAGTAAGAATAACATTAACTGCTAGCAATTATGAACAAACTGGCCTGATCTAGCTTAAAGCTAAACATTATCCATGGTGACAAAGATGAAAACATTTTTTAAAATGTAAAAGTAGCTATTGGATAGACTCTGCATATTGACTGATAGCTAAGCCAAATAAACAGGGAAAAGAGACGAGGGATAACAGGGAAAAGTGTTGATAAAGAGTATTTGTCTCTCTGCAAAACTGCCTGGATCATAATTATTTTAACCTTGGTAGTCTCTAATCCACATAGCATGATGCCTGAACATAGGACTTTCACATTAGAACGTCCGTTCTGCCTTAGCTGAGGCTTAAACTCACAACTTCTGAGACTGAGGTCCGTCTTCTATCTCACTGAGCTAACTGGCAAGTGACAGTTCATGTGTGGCTTCACAGATTGACTAAGCCAAGCATCAGGGTGCCAGACAGCAGCCATCCATGCCATGGAAAAGCACATTTCAAAGTGAAAGTTCCAAAGCTGTAGCACATATGGTTGATTTGTTATGAATTTTCACAGTTTTGAACTTCAGAGGCTGCTGTAGCGCCACCATCAGGACTATTGTCTTGTGTTTCCAGTTGAGGACATCTGGCATGGGACTGGACCTTTGTGCAAAGTTTGGTGATTTTTCACGCATAGGAAGTAGGATTTTCTCAGAAGAAGAAGAAGAAGGAGAAGAACATGCAGCAGAACAATTACAAAAGGATCAGCTGCAGCTCAGCTCCACACTCAACTCAGTCACAACGATCTGAACATTCTCAGAAGGGTTTTCGCTCCGGTCACAGTACCGAGACGACGATGGTAAAAATCACTGATGATCTCTGAACAGTAGCTGACTGTGGACTCTAACTGTTCCTCTCTTTCATTTGTTTTTATTGCTACTAATACTTTTATTGCAATAAATTCATGTTTCATTTACAACTACACTCTATTCAGTATTTTTTCATACAAAGTATGTGTGTGTATGTGTGTGTGTGTGTACACCCAGTGAAAACAAACTATATTTTCATCCTTGTCCAAATACATACATACATACATACATACATACATACATACATACATACATACATACATACTTATCTGCACCTCTGAATGTGAACAAACATGGACACAAAAATGTGGCCGTACGTGTACACACTCAGATTTAACACTAAAAAGAGACATAGAAAGGAAATGGGAAAACGTTCACAGCACAATGATCATGCCTCTTATTCATAATATTAATTAGTTTATTCATTTGATTCGTTACTGGCCTCAAAACTCAGATCTCTTCATTTCTAACTCTATACGTTACTGTCTCCATCTCGGAAATCTCCCTGATAGTTACTACCCATTTTTAACTGATGGACTTCAGGATTTAACCACATCCTGGTGATGTGTTTCATGGCCACGGTGTTCAGAATTCTACTGATCTCTTTCCTGCATCAGCTCTGGTGGAGATTTTCCTACAATAATATGCACAGGGATAATTGCTGTTTTTATTTGGAACATACTCACAATATCTGATTGCCAACATAATTTTAAAACCGGGCAGAGACAGAAAACGTGTCAATGGTTTGCCTTTGTCTCGCCGCTCTTCTCCAGCAGTTCGACGTCATAGATGTGTTAATTTTGGAATGTACCTGTGGTGTAATAAAAAATCTTGAATATAATTTCCATTCAAAATCTTTCCAATACTTAGTTTGTTGTTTTGTGAATCTCTCTGCAAACTTGCTTCACTCTTCACTGTTAACCTGCTGTCCTAGTTCAGCCACCCATTTTTGTTGCGTACTAGTTTCAGCGTCCGTACTGTTCTCCAGAGGTTTGTATGTTTTTGACAAAGAGTTGTTTATTTCCTTATTATGACTTTTGCTCAGAGAGGCAATTAAAGGGGCATTTCTTTTGCGGTTTGATTTTTTATTTTATAAGGTATGTCCTTATTTGCAAATATTTATAGAAATTACTTTGTGCCAGATTGTACTTAGAAACTAGTGACTGAAAGGAGCTCACGGTGTTGTTGCTCAGCATCTGTAAATATGTTTTTAATCCTCTTGATGCCATACTTTCAAAATGTCATCTGTCCTGTTTGGTTCAAACTGGCGATCCCATGCCATTCCTCGGAAGTATACTATATCCTCATTTATTTTGTGAGTGTTGTGAATATTTTTTCCAACTTCCTAGTGTGTTGTCAACACATCTGTTTAGTCCTTTGATCTGTGAGTAATCCTTTTTGTCTATATAAGGTAATGATTTTATAGATATTGGTATGGACTTCTTCTCAACCACTCTCCACTTTGCTTCACCTCTGTCATTCGACCATCTTGTATTTATTTGTGTTGAATTAAAGTAGCTCTGCAGGTTAGGAACGGCCAAACCCCCACGCTGTGTTGCTTTAGTTCATTTATTGATTATTATTCGTTTCTTTTTGTTATTCCATATAAATTTACTTAGTAATCCATTCCACCTTTTAAAACATGTGGTAGGAACTGGTATGGGTGCAGTCTGGAACAGGAAGAGGAACTGTGGTAGAATCATCATTTTAATTGTGTCCACTCGTCCACAGAATAGAGTCTGCTAACGTTTTCCACTTATTTAAATCAGATTACATTTTTTCCTCTAAGGGCACATAATTGACTTCATACAGTTTGTTCAAATCCTTGTGAATAAAATTCCCAAATAGTTAATTTAATTCTGATTCCATTTTAACTTAAGGTTGTTCTTAAAGAGGCAACAGATAGGATTCGTTTTAGCTTGGCGCCACCTAGCATCAGTGGTGTTGCATCGCACTGTGGCCACGACCAAACTGAGCGTGGGGATCAGAGATAATGAATCAAATGTAGGCTGTAAAGCCACCAGTATACCTCTATGTATATGTAGAATGAGAAGGTGTGTGGACACTCTACTAAATAAATGAGTAAAGAGACCGAGCAACAATTATCAGATTTATCTGAAGAAAAAACAAATAGTAAAGCAAATAATTATAGCAGAATGCACAGTACCAGTACAAATAGCTCACAGTAAATGATACCAATATGTACAGTATCAGTACAAACAACAGTAGACACAGTGGAATTATACCAATATGCACATGTAAACAGTCCCCATTCTAGAATAAACGCTACCGTATGGAAACCATGCGGCCGGTTGGAGCTCAAATTGAATGGGAAACAAAGTCCAGTGTTCACTTAGCTGGGCGTAACTTAGCTGGGCGATGTCCGTGGATAGCTGCCTCCGTGAGAAGAGAACAGAAGGAAGGGAGGGGGGTATCACTGTCCGAGGGCTGCCGTAGAATGGCAACCAGGATGTCAGCCGACCAACACTCGCTACCCGCTCCCTGGTTGCGGCGATTTGCGATGCTGGCCAGCTAGGAATGAACTAGCAGCCAGTACAGTACAGTCTTCTCTGGTCTAGCTAACATTTAGCCGTGTTACTTACTGATCCATTAGAAAGAAAGCTAGCTGGACATGGGTTTTGAAGCCTCTTTGGTCACGGAGCTCCCTCCATCTCTTGAACGCCTGACTGAGGTTTACTCTTGTTTTTCCTCTTCTTTTATCACTCTCCTTTTTGTTTAGTTTCATTTATTCTGTGTCCTGAAAACTCACTGTCTTCATTTATCGATGCCTTTAAAGCTGGTAGTGAAGTTCCAGGTGATGTCATATACATAATGTCATCATCAGCGTACATTGCCAGCTTATGGACTTCCTGTCCTATTGTTACTCCCTTAATAAGGTTCTGCCGTCTCACTGCTTCAGCTAACGGTTCCATACACACAATAGAAATCAGCCCAGAGAGTGGGTCTCCCTGTCTAGTTCCCTCACGTATTTTTATCCGTCTTCACAGAGCACCATTGACCTTTACTTGTGCTGCAGGATTTGTATACATTACTTGCAACCAAGAAGTAACTTTTGGATGAAAGCCAAAAGCTTTAGTTGTATTAAAGATATAGAGCCATATTATCTGTCGAATGCTTTTTCTGCGTCCATCGTTATCAAAAGTACATCTTTTTTATTTTTTTGACAACGATCAATTATATTTAAAGTGCGCCTACCCATGACAAACCCACACTGGTCCCTCTTTATTATTATATTTGGAATTATTTATTTTAATCTCTCTTATTATTGATGATAATATTTTTTGATCTGTATTTAATAACTTTATCGGTCTATATGACGAACGCTCAGTTAAATCCTTTCCTTCTTTAGGTTGACAGTGATTACTGATGAATTTCACGTTGGTGCCCGGATTCCTGCTTCCAAAGCAAAATTATAAACTCTATGCAGAAGTGGAGTCAGAGGTAATCTAAACTCTTGATGAACTCCATTTGTGTGCCCATCAGTCCCTGGGGTCTTCCCCTTTTTAAGTTTCTTTATTTGTCTTGATGTTTCATCTATTGAAGTCGTTTTTATGAGAGATGTGTTCTGATGAGGGGTGGCTTGTTTTAATTTAAGTTTTCCCAGGTACATTTCCATTTCTGTCCTTTCTCTCATTTCGGACTCGTCCTTATATAAATTCTCATAGAATTGTGCAAAGGTCTCTGCTATGTCGTCTGTATTGGTTACGACTGTAGCGGTATCATCTGTTAATCTAGTTTTTGGGATTTACAAGTTTGCTTCGTAAGCTTATATGCCAGCACCTTGGTTGAATTTGGTCCATCATAATGTTTTGTTTTGTAAATGTGAGTTGTTTCTCTGTTTCCTCTGACCTTCATTTATCCAATGCTGAGTGATTTTTTTGTAGTTGTATGTTGATGCTGGTGTTAGGGTTAAGTCTATGTTTGTCCTCCAAGAGTCTAACTTGTAACTGGAGTTCCTTCTTAACTTGCTCCTGCCACCTTTTCTTTTCAGATGCATAAACTATTATTTCTCCTCTTAATACAGCTTTTGCTCCTTCCCATAAGGTGATCTCATTAATGGTGTCATTTAATTTAAAGTATTCATTTATGCAGTTTCTTCTCTTTAAACTTCAAGTCCTGCAAGAAGGAGTTGTTCATTCTCCGTAGATGTTTCCTTTTTTTCAAGTTTAATTTCACCTGCAAGGTAACTGTTGTATGATCTGATAAAGTCGTTGTTCCAATAACACACTGACTAATCAATCAAGTGTTTTTTTAAACATAAAGAAATAATCCAATCGACTGTAAGTGGCATGTCTACCAGAGAGGTAAGTATAATCTTTAGCTGTTGGATGTAGTGCTCTCCATATGTCCATCAGTCCTGTTTCTACATGTTCTTCTCAGTATTGTAGCTTTCCCCACCACCTACACATCTTCCCTCTCTGTCCTGTACACATTTTGTCGTTTCAAAGGGAATGTGGACATTTATGATTGTAGCCACTGTTACGTTAACACCCAGACTTGATGTTACCAAAGATGAGATGGAGGACAAGCCAGTACGTTGCAAGCATGTTTACTTCAGAAACAGGAAGTGTTACACACCAACAGGTAAGGAAACCAACAATAGTACTCGACTATATTTTGTTTTACAGAACAGCCACGCCCCTTTTTCCTTAGCTGTATGAGGATGAAAATACCTGACCGTTAGTTATTTTAGCTTTTTATGCTCTTTCTGCATCAAATGAGTCTCTTGCAGGATCAGTATGTCTCCCTTTTCTTTCTTCAATTGTTGGAATACTTTCTTCCTCTTAATACAGTTATTGAGACCATTAACATTTAAAGAAATTACATTCAAGTTACTCAAAAGACAATTACAAATTGAATACACATGCTCTTAGGCATTTACTTACTGTATCATTCCATGCTTACTCTACTTGTCCATGCTTTCTTCATTGCATGGCAAAATGTAAAGACCCACCACCTTATCTTTCCCAAAGCCAAAATTCACCAATATGCGTCAGCTCTTCCTGTTCACCGTTTCACATATTTTTCAACATTATGACTTAAACTGAACTTGGAAATGATGCCACATCTAGGGAATGTCACTCACGTCTCTGGGTCAGCAGACCGGTTATCAGTGTCCATAAGACCTGTACATCCAGCTTACTTTTTCTTCACTGTGTTTGCTTCTGCTCCATCGTGTACCAGTTAGCTGTGGATCCAGCGGGGCCAGCAGAGCTATCCTGGTGGCCTTGTGTCTTGTGTCACATGCACCCGTCACTCTCCTTCCTTCTAGGGCTCTGGATGCGCTCTCTGTTTTGCTGGAGCGATGATGTATGATCTGATATTTTCCTTCCTGAGTCGGTCCCTTATTGGTCTATACCGGCCTCTCATCTGTTTCAATCTGGTGGTGAAATCAAGGTCAAAATGTAGTCTCTTTCCATTACTAGAGCGATGCTGAGAGATATCTGCCCCGTGTATCTCCTCCACTCTGAGCTCCATTTCATCCATTCTTGTCTCAGTTTTCTCCAGTTTTTGCCGCAGCTCAGTTGTTTCTTAATATCTCGCTCCGTCTCCTTGCGGTATGTTTTGAATTCAGATCGGAAGTCTTCAATCTCTGTAGTGATGGAGTGTTTCAGTTCAATCAAGAAGAGGCGCCTGTCGGCTGTTTGGCCATCTTACCGTGTTTCTCTCATTTGTTATTGTCAAAACTCTTCGTTTTTTATCCAGATCGGAGGTTCATTCCCGTCCAGATGTATCCCACGGTTTTAATCTTTAAGTTAGCGCCTTTAGCATTACATAGTTATTACAAGTTGAGGGCTAGGCAGACGCCACTTTTTCAACCTGCTGCCATTGCACCACTTCAATGTTCCACTTGATCTGAACGCAGCCTTTGAAACCATCTCACATAACATCCTTCTATAGAGACGAGCTACCAGCGGTTTCACTGACACCGCTCTTGACTGGTTTAAATCATCTCTCTCTGGTCGCACTCATTTTGTTCAGAAATTTCAGATCCAACTCTCTTCCTGTTACTAGTGGTGTTCCTCAGGGCTCTGTCCTGGGTACCCTTTTATTTATTATCCACCTTCCTCCTCTTGATCATATCTTCAGAAAATCTGACATTTAGTTTCACTGCTACGCTGATGACACCCAGCTCTATCTGTCCAAGACTGCAGACTCCCTCTGCAGTTCAGTGGGGTACTTGTCTCTGGATGGGTTTGGTTTTCAGGGTGGGAGACAAACTTCTATCAAAGGGTTCAAAATAAGACATGGACAACTTGTGTTTTTACTTGTTCCTGACATGTTCCAACTGTTGCACAGTGCCCACTGAGTCCACCCTTAGGCGGTGATCACACCGAGATGAAATGTTAGAAACTTGACACCAGTAAAACTATTGTTTTCCTATGATACGGCGCGTCTGACTGGCATTCAAGCATCTTTTTAGATGGGCGTTTTTCCAGCGTATTTTTAGACGTGCGTTTTTCTGGCGTCTTTTTAGACGCGTTTTTGTAGACGCTTGTTTTTAGACGTGCGTAGATGCTGAAAAGTTAAAATATTTTCAACTTTTTGAGTGTGAGATACCAGTAGGTAGCGCGCATTGAATAAGTTCCTTCAGTGTTTCAAGCGTCTTTGAAGCGTCCGCGTCTCTAGTGTCTCATTTCTGTGTAATCACCCCCTTACAGAGGAAGCTGGCTGACCTGTCATGTTGGTCACTTTTCTTTCACATGATTGAAAACAAAGTAAAAAATGACAGAAACAACAGTGAAAATGAAATTTGCTCCAGGTGAGTCTTCTTAGTGTTCTTTCCATCAAAGTTATGTTGCCATAGAGACGTGATCTCAGAGCAGTGTGACGGATCATATTCATCAACGGGTCCCTTTAAGATGACACACATCAGTGGGCTGACTAAGCTCCTCCCCTTTCTGGCATCATCTGAGAGAAAAGAGGAAACAGTTTGTTACTGTTCAGTTCTTCGTGAGAAGAGACGCACCCAAAGACAGACGGTAAGATTTACCTTCATTACGAAGCTGTGACTTCAACTGAGGACGGTTAGAGAAGGGAGTACTGAAGTACTGATATACTGAGGTACTGATATACTGAAGTACTGATATACTTAAGTACTGATATACTGAGGTACTGACATACTTCAACCTGCTGCTGACTGAAAAAACACTCAGAGACTCAAAGTGAAAGTAACTGAAGCAGCTTTCTACAGTGGGGAGGGAAATTCCACTGACTTCCTGTTTTAACATGCTGTCTGCTGTGTTTTCAGCTTCACTCAGAGACTAAATGGCTTCCAGATCAGAGGAGGATCTCTGCTTTCCGGTCTGTCAGGACGTCTTTAGACATCCTGTTCTTCTGTCATGTAGCCACAGCTTCTGTAAAGACTGTCTGAAGCGCTGGTGGAAAGACAAACAAACAAAGGAGTGTCCACTTTGTAAGAGAAGATCTTCAAAAGAACCACCTTTAAACCTGGCGTTAAAGAACCTGTGTGAGGCCTTCTTACAGGAGAGAGATCAGAGAGCTTCAGAGGCTCTCTGCAGTCTGCACTCTGAGAAACTCAAACTCTTCTGTCTGGACCATCAGCAGCCAGTTTGTCTCGTCTGCAGAGATTCAGAAAAACACACCAAGCACAGATTCAGACCCATCGATGAAGCTGCACGACAACACAAGAAGGAAGTTGAGGAAACTCTGGAGCCCTTAAAGGAGAAGTTAAAGGTTTGTGAACAAGTTAAAGTGAAGTGTGAACAAACAGCACAACACATGAAGGTCCAGGCCCGACGCACAGAGAGGCAGATTAAGGAGCAGTTTAAGAAGCTTCACCAGTTTCTAGAAGAGGAAGAGGAGGCCAGGATGGCTGCACTGAGGGAGGAAGAGGAGCAGAAGAGTCAGATGATGAAGGAGAAGATGGAGGCTCTGAGCAGAGAGATAGCAGCTCTTTCAGACACAGTCAGAGCCACAGAGGACGAGCTGAGAGCTGAAGACGTCTCATTCCTGCTCAACTACAAGGCTGCAGTGGACAGAGTCCAGCAGCGCCCCCTGCTGGATGATCCACAGCTGCTCTCAGGAGCTCTGATAGACGAGGCCAAACACCTGGGCAACCTGACCTTCAACATCTGGAACAAGATGAAGGACATGGTCTCTTACACTCCTGTGATCCTGGATCCAAACACTACTAGTCCAAAACTCATCCTGTCTGAAGATCTGACCAGTGTGAGACGAGCAGAGGAGAAACAGCAGCTTCCTGATAATCCAGAGAGGTTTGATCACCACTGGTCTTCTCGCGCCTCTGAGGGCTTTAACTCAGGGACTCACAGCTGGGATGTCGAGGTTGGAGACAGTACACAGTGGGGCCTGGGTGTGTTAGCAGAGTCTGTCCAGGGGAGGGGACACATGCGGTCTAAATTATGGGGAATACGGATCTTTAACGGTGAATACTCAGCATGGTCACCACCGGATTTATCAACTGATCTCCAACTGAAGAAGAAGCTCCAGAGGATCAGAGTGAATCTGGACTGGAACAGAGGAAAGCTGTCGTTCTCTGATCCTGATACTAACACACACATACACACCTTCACACACACTTTCACTGAGAGACTGTTTCCATACGTTAGCACTGGTAATAAACTGAAGATCTTACCGCTGAAGGTCTGTGTGACAGTGGAACAGAGCAGGTAGAGATCAGCAGGATGATTCTGTTTATAATGATGTTTGTGTGACTGAACTGAAGCTGTTGAGCTGAACCTGTCCTCCTGCACCTGTCCTCCTGAACCTGTCCTCCTGCACCTGTCCTTCTGAACCTGTCCTCCTGAACCTGTCCTCCTGAACCTGTCCTCCTGCACCTGTCCTCCTGAACCTGTCCTCCTGAACCTGTCCTCCTGCACCTGTCCTCCTGAACCTGTCCTCCTGAACCTGTCCTCCTGCACCTGTCCTCCTGAACCTGTCCTCCTGAACCTGTCCTCCTGCACCTGTCCTCCTGAACCTGTCCTCCTGAACCTGTCCTCCTGCACCTGTCCTCCTGAACCTGTCCTCCTGAACCTGTCCTCCTGCACCTGTCCTCCTGAACCTGTCCTCCTGAACCTGTCCTCCTGCACCTGTCCTCCTGAACCTGTCCTCCTGAACCTGTCCTCCTGCACCTGTCCTCCTGAACCTGTCCTCCTGAACCTGTCCTCCTGCACCTGTCCTCCTGAACCTGTCCTCCTGAACCTGTCCTCCTGCACCTGTCCTCCTGAACCTGTCCTCCTGAACCTGTCCTCCTGCACCTGTCCTCCTGAACCTGTCCTCCTGAACCTGTCCTCCTGCACCTGTCCTCCTGAACCTGTCCTCCTGAACCTGTCCTCCTGCACCTGTCCTCCTGAACCTGTCCTCCTGAACCTGTCCTCCTGCACCTGTCCTCCTGAACCTGTCCTCCTGAACCTGTCCTCCTGCACCTGTCCTCCTGAACCTGTCCTCCTGAACCTGTCCTCCTGCACCTGTCCTCCTGAACCTGTCCTCCTGAACCTGTCCTCCTGCACCTGTCCTCCTGAACCTGTCCTCCTGAACCTGTCCTCCTGCACCTGTCCTCCTGAACCTGTCCTCCTGAACCTGTCCTCCTGCACCTGTCCTCCTGAACCTGTCCTCCTGAACCTGTCCTCCTGCACCTGTCCTCCTGAACCTGTCCTCCTGAACCTGTCCTCCTGCACCTGTCCTCCTGAACCTGTCCTCCTGAACCTGTCCTCCTGCACCTGTCCTCCTGAACCTGTCCTCCTGAACCTGTCCTCCTGCACCTGTCCTCCTGAACCTGTCCTCCTGAACCTGTCCTCCTGCACCTGTCCTCCTGAACCTGTCCTCCTGAACCTGTCCTCCTGCACCTGTCCTCCTGAACCTGTCCTCCTGAACCTGTCCTCCTGCACCTGTCCTCCTGAACCTGTCCTCCTGAACCTGTCCTCCTGCACCTGTCCTCCTGAACCTGTCCTCCTGAACCTGTCCTCCTGCACCTGTCCTCCTGAACCTGTCCTCCTGAACCTGTCCTCCTGCACCTGTCCTCCTGAACCTGTCCTCCTGAACCTGTCCTCCTGCACCTGTCCTCCTGAACCTGTCCTCCTGAACCTGTCCTCCTGCACCTGTCCTCCTGAACCTGTCCTCCTGAACCTGTCCTCCTGCACCTGTCCTCCTGAACCTGTCCTCCTGAACCTGTCCTCCTGCACCTGTCCTCCTGAACCTGTCCTCCTGAACCTGTCCTCCTGCACCTGTCCTCCTGAACCTGTCCTCCTGAACCTGTCCTCCTGCACCTGTCCTCCTGAACCTGTCCTCCTGAACCTGTCCTCCTGCACCTGTCCTCCTGAACCTGTCCTCCTGAACCTGTCCTCCTGCACCTGTCCTCCTGAACCTGTCCTCCTGAACCTGTCCTCCTGCACCTGTCCTCCTGAACCTGTCCTCCTGAACCTGTCCTCCTGCACCTGTCCTCCTGAACCTGTCCTCCTGAACCTGTCCTCCTGCACCTGTCCTCCTGAACCTGTCCTCCTGAACCTGTCCTCCTGCACCTGTCCTCCTGAACCTGTCCTCCTGAACCTGTCCTCCTGCACCTGTCCTCCTGAACCTGTCCTCCTGAACCTGTCCTCCTGCACCTGTCCTCCTGAACCTGTCCTCCTGAACCTGTCCTCCTGCACCTGTCCTCCTGAACCTGTCCTCCTGAACCTGTCCTCCTGCACCTGTCCTCCTGAACCTGTCCTCCTGAACCTGTCCTCCTGCACCTGTCCTCCTGAACCTGTCCTCCTGAACCTGTCCTCCTGCACCTGTCCTCCTGAACCTGTCCTCCTGAACCTGTCCTCCTGCACCTGTCCTCCTGAACCTGTCCTCCTGAACCTGTCCTCCTGCACCTGTCCTCCTGAACCTGTCCTCCTGAACCTGTCCTCCTGCACCTGTCCTCCTGAACCTGTCCTCCTGAACCTGTCCTCCTGCACCTGTCCTCCTGAACCTGTCCTCCTGAACCTGTCCTCCTGCACCTGTCCTCCTGAACCTGTCCTCCTGAACCTGTCCTCCTGCACCTGTCCTCCTGAACCTGTCCTCCTGAACCTGTCCTCCTGCACCTGTCCTCCTGAACCTGTCCTCCTGAACCTGTCCTCCTGCACCTGTCCTCCTGAACCTGTCCTCCTGAACCTGTCCTCCTGCACCTGTCCTCCTGAACCTGTCCTCCTGAACCTGTCCTCCTGCACCTGTCCTCCTGAACCTGTCCTCCTGAACCTGTCCTCCTGCACCTGTCCTCCTGAACCTGTCCTCCTGAACCTGTCCTCCTGCACCTGTCCTCCTGAACCTGTCCTCCTGAACCTGTCCTCCTGCACCTGTCCTCCTGAACCTGTCCTCCTGAACCTGTCCTCCTGCACCTGTCCTCCTGAACCTGTCCTCCTGAACCTGTCCTCCTGCACCTGTCCTCCTGAACCTGTCCTCCTGAACCTGTCCTCCTGCACCTGTCCTCCTGAACCTGTCCTCCTGAACCTGTCCTCCTGCACCTGTCCTCCTGAACCTGTCCTCCTGAACCTGTCCTCCTGCACCTGTCCTCCTGAACCTGTCCTCCTGAACCTGTCCTCCTGCACCTGTCCTCCTGAACCTGTCCTCCTGAACCTGTCCTCCTGCACCTGTCCTCCTGAACCTGTCCTCCTGAACCTGTCCTCCTGCACCTGTCCTCCTGAACCTGTCCTCCTGCACCTGTCCTCCTGCTGTCTCATTATTACAAAGATGTTGTATTCATCTTTCACTCGTTGGTTTTTATCATCACTTTATTTAGTTCAACAATCAGTTTTTTGTCTCTGCTGTTGACTTCTTCATGTGTGAAATGATTTACTGCTTGTTTGGTTCTTTTCTTTTTATCCATAATGTTGTTGATGTTTTATTATTTGAACTTGTGTGTGTGGAGCCATGAAGACCAGTAACCACTCTGTGCAAGCGGATTGGATCCTTGGAAACAATCAGCGTATCAATAACTGCATGTTTGAGCAGCCAATCATTGATCAGATCAAACAAACTTATTCTGAAATTCTAGTCCAGATTATAAAGTTCTCAAACATTCAAATCAATGTTTCATTTCTTTCTATGAAATCTGTACTGTATAAAATACGTCTCCAATGATCCCAAACATCTGATCAATATTCTGTCTGATGTCATTCAGCTGGATGCTGCTGTTTAGTCATTTAGTCAGTGGCCTCATTTAAGGTGGACATGTCATGTTTAAGGTGGATTTATGTTCATGTAACCTTTGTCCATAAAACAATAAAAAATTCTCTTCTCATCATTTTTCTTTGTTTATCATTTTAACAGATGTGATAAAGATTTGAGGTCGCACAGGCCACAGACGTCAACACAACCTGTTTTTAGATTTCCTCTTAGATCATATCCTCTCTCCCTGTCACAAAACAGTTTTTGAATATTGCCAAGAAGTAGATTATTTTTTGCTACAAACATTATGTGGACTGTTTTAAATTTGACCAGATCCCCAAAGTTTAATGTCTGTGACTGTAAACACAGTGTGTAGGTGTGCATCATGTACAGTCATAATGATTTCTTTATAATATGTGTGATGTGTATAAAGTACCTGTACAGGTGTGACCTCCACACAGTGATATTTGGTGATTCATGGTCCAGGATGTGTCCTGATTTCCCATAATGCACTGCTTCCTGCCAGCTTTGGTTGAATGGGACTTATTTGAGGTTTCCAGATGATTTTGAGATCCAGTGTCACTCACAGAAATGTATCCTCACACATGTTGTCTGTATTAACACCATCTGTCTTAATTTGTACTTGTGTATAAATTTTTTTTAATAACAACATTTAGGTCAAATTTTGTGATTGTTTTTGTCAAACCTTCTTTTCAATTTATTCATTTCTGTCGTTATTGCTGTCAAAAGCAGCTGTCAATCCTCTGCAGAGCACGAAAAGTTGGATCTTCTGCAAATACAACAAATTTTAAAGTTGTCGTCTGTTGTGATTTCATCACACAGGAAGTGTCTCAGCAGCTGGAGGCCACTTTGTCCAACAGTTTTTAATGAGAATTATTTATTCTATTTTATTACCTCCACCAAGGAGATTATGTTTTCACCGGTGTTGGTCTGTTTGTTTGTTTGTCTGCAAAATAACTCAAAAAGTAATGAACGGATTGTGATGAAATTTTCAGGAAAGGTGGATAATGGGACAAGGAACAGATGATACAATTTTGGTGGTGATCGGTTGAAGCAAAGTGGATAAAATAATAAATAAATCTATGGTCTGACAGCCTCAGCAGCAATTAAGACGGTGAAAATAGCGCCATCCGGTGGCCAGACAGCACGTCTTGTTCTATTTGCTAAATATTGTTGTAATTGTAAAGTTGAAATTAATGTTCTGTGTTGGAAAAAAAGAAAGTGAAAAATACAAAAAAACATATTATATTCTGTGTTGGTTCAAAATAAAAACTAAATAAATACACCACAGTGTCTCCATGGTGACGGCATATATAACCTCATAATGATAGTGATGCAAATAAACTAATTGTGATGCAGGCTGCAAAATCTGATGCAGAGGGGGAGGGAATATCACCTACTTGGCGGAGGTCTGCACTCTCTGACTGCTTTTCTAGTTTTATATTTTTATTTAGACGTTTATTGATCAGGGACAAATGCATTAAACATTATTTCATATAAAATATAAAACAGATGTCATGCATACAAGTTTACAAGAAACTTTTTGTCACTGTTTTTGCTGCGCGCCGCATGTGTGTCTGCGCTCTAGGCGCCTGGTGTTTTTGCTGCAGTGCTCTGAACTCCTCAAGTTGAAAAGAAAGAAAAGTGCTCCACGCCATCTCAGCTTTTCCCCATTGTCCAATGGGATGATG